AGGAATCCTGCCATTCTGTATTAAAGTGTTCTTAGTTTGGTCTGTAAATGAAAAAACAAGGTCTGGTCCTGCAGCTGCTGGCTTAAAATAGTCCACTTGGTCTTTTTATCCCCTTGCAGTGGAACAAGCCTTGAACACTGCTGCTGGGGAAGGGATGGCCCCAGTCAGGTCAAGACCACAGTGCCAGGTTTGGGTTTTTATTGGACACTTAAACATAACCAGTGGAATGACAGTTGTCAGGACATGAAGACACAGGGTAAAATTTCAGGGCTTTTCAAGCAACAAATTATTTATCTAGCTCAGATCTCTCCCAGATGGCTGATGTTTTTCTACCCAAATAGTGAGTAGAAGACAGCAGGATTTCTTCTGCATTGGAGGAAGGAACTCAGACCCAATCACCCTCATTTCAATAGCAAACAGGTATGTGATTAAGGAACTGCCTTATTGTCACCTGAAGTGCCCTTCCTTGCTCTCCTATGGCTTGCACAGGATAAAGTGACTTCTGTTTGTTCTGTCCTTTGCTGTGGGTAGTGAAGGCGCAGCAGCAGCAGGTGATGCTGGCAGATCAAAGGCTTGAAAAAAACTTTCTTCTTTTATAGGCTTTTCATGGTGGAAGAATTTCTTGTCAAAGTCCTTTTTGTTCTTAAAAGGTATCTAAAGAACTCATCAATAAATAAGTCATAGACTTGAATCTTCCTCCAGCTCTTTATGTCACCAATTAAAAGAGATTTTCTTAGACTTCCTAAGTTTGCTCATCTCAAATTCAACAACCTGTAGTGCTACCAGGACAGGTGTTTGTCTGTCTGGCATCTGCAGGGTGAGGTGTAACACAGAGTGTGTGTGTTTGTGGAGCTGTGGAGGCTCCAGGCTGCTGGCAGGAACTGGAGCAGAACTGGTGTCTGCCCTGCTTGACACACCTGCCTAGGGCCAGGACACAGACCCCCAAACCTGCTCTTTCATAAAGTCCAGGCCAAGCACAGAATTGTAGGGAGAACAGGTGTGTTTTCAGTCCAACAGCATCACAGGGTGTGGCACACGTGTTCCAGGTAGTGTAGCATGACTGCAGGGTGTTTGGTTGGGAAGCCTGTGTCCCTCTGGGCTCCTTCAAACTCATTTCTGTCCATCCCCAAGCTTGCTTCTCCTCCCATAGCACCTCTGCACAGAGTGTGGCCCTCCTACATGTGTTAGTGCAGAAAAACAAACTCTTAAATTAATTTTCAGTACTTTAGAAGATAAGTCAAAGAGAAAAATACTATATGCTGCCTGACAAATAGTTAGAATTAGTCAATAGACTGGATGAACAAATTTTCTAACCTGGCAACCTGTGGAATTGTTTTATTTTTAAGGCCTGGTTCTAGAATTAACCCCACAGGTTACCAGGTTAGAAGAATTATATGGGCACAGTCTGCTTCTCAGAAGACAGAACTAGGTAAACAGGTTAAAAATTATTTACTCTTTAGCAGCCCTAATACTAATGCTTGTTTATAAAGATTTAAGAGTACAGTAAGTACCATGAGGCTCCATGGAGCTGTGCCAGGCATGCGGCTAGGATTAATGAACTTGTGTGGAGGCATTGGGTAGGGAAGTGTTAGCTGGCACTAACATGATTTGTATTATTAGATGAAAGCTTCATATGACAGAAGACATGAGCTGCCTTTCTAGGTTGTCCTATAAAACAGCAATGAAACAGTGTCCCAGGCTTGGTTCACCATCTCTAAGATACTGAAGATGAAATCGTAGTTGGAATTATTTTAATTTCTTCAGCTGCACAGCCTGTGCATCCAAAGCACTGTGAGAGCAAGGATGTGATTTGTTTAATTGATCTCACTGGGCTTGTAGAGTTTTGCAAATGAACCTTTACAGACTGGGATGTTTTTTTCTTGATTTTTTTTTTTTTTTTTTGGTTTTCCAAACGCGGCTAGGATTAATGAACTTGTGTGGAGGCATTGGGTAGGGAAGTGTTAGCTGGCACTAACATGATTTGTATTATTAGATGAAAGCTTCATATGACAGAAGACATGAGCTGCCTTTCTAGGTTGTCCTATAAAACAGCAATGAAACAGTGTCCCAGGCTTGGTTCACCATCTCTAAGATACTGAAGATGAAATCGTAGTTGGAATTATTTTAATTTCTTCAGCTGCACAGCCTGTGCATCCAAAGCACTGTGAGAGCAAGGATGTGATTTGTTTAATTGATCTCACTGGGCTTGTAGAGTTTTGCAAATGAACCTTTACAGACTGGGATGTTTTTTTCTTGATTTTTTTTTTTTCTTTTTGGTTTTCCAACAGGAGTGTCCTAGTGGGGTTGTTAATGAAGAGACATTCAAACAGATCTATGCACAGTTTTTTCCTCATGGAGGTAAGCAGAGGACTGTGTGTCTGTCAGGTTTCCTGAAGCTTGGCTTAATGTTCATTCCTGCCAGCTGGCTGCAAAGCTACAGATTAGCTGTGTGAGAACTGTGAATTGAGCTTAAGCTTTGCAGGATCTTCACCAGAAACACAAACAGCAAGGTAATAAATTGAAGTTAAACCCTTTGAACAGTTATTTCACATGAATTTAGACAAACCCACATTAAAGACTGACACAAGTTGTCAGCCCTTTGTTCTCCACTAAGCAGTGCTCTAGACCATGATAGAAACTGGGATTGGTGCTTTTCCCTGTCCTGACTTTCTGGATGGCAGAAAGTTAAACCATGTCCCCATAGTGGTTCCTTGCTTCCCTGCTGTTGGATCTCTGTGCATGTCATATCTAGTTCAGGAGAGTCCCAGACCTCATTTTGGCCTGCAAATTAATCAAAACATCCCTAATTTTTTTTAAGCAGTTCCTAGGGGGTGTATGAACACCTAGCTACCTGAAACGATCACTTTTGGTGTTTGTGTGACTTATTAAGACAGGGTCATATCATGGATTGGAGTGTTCAAGTATAGTATTAAACCTCTCAACTAATGTGTATTCTTGCTTTCAAAACCTTCAAGAATCTATGTTGTTTTAACTGGATATATTCCATGGGTATACTGCTCTGAATTTGAAAGAAATGAGTCAGAAGTTTGTGGGGTTTTAGTAAAAGATGCAGTATTTGAGGCTTTCTGAGAAGATCCTGCACTGTAGTAGCTGCAGAATATATTCCCTGTGAATGCTGACTGCTGCTTCTGCAGGAGTGTGTGTGCACCTGTATTGGCTGTAGGAAGGTCAGTAACAAGCAGTTTCTCACTAAATATCAAGATAAACCACTTGATGTTTTAAAATGCAGGTGACCTCAAAGATACACACCTGCAATGAGTTCATGTTAGATTTCAGTACAGACTTGATGAATTCATATTATTATTGCTTTTGGCTTTGTTATGCAAAGCAACCATTCAATTTACATTTTTAACAAATATAAAAAATAAGTATTTATAGTCTTAATGTATTTCTGGATGTGTTTTTTGTGTTCAACCTAAGTTCTAGTAAGTCCAAGGAACTCCATTTACTTCAAGTAACTGCACTAACTCCTTTACATAACACAACTTGTGTGGTTTCTTCCTTCTCAGGTGTGAAAAACAATCAGGCACAGAAGCTTCATCTTTTCATGGATAGATTTTTCTTTTTCTCCTCTACTGAGGCTGAAAAATTCTTGCCTTTGTGTGTCCCATTCCTTTGAAGCATGGTTCTCCCTTGGTTAATGATGACAGTAGTTCAACCATGCTCAATAATAAATCAGCTTAATAGCAGATGTGGTTCAGTATCTTACACTGTTTTCTTTCACTTGGTTTCCAAACTGTTTGTGTAACCTTAGTGTCATAAATTGCAAGATTTCAGATTCCTGAGAGATTTTTTCACTTTAATAGCTCTCTGTACATATAAACTTGTACATTCCAGAGATAATAAAGTACCTCTGATTTATAAAAACTTTGTGCAGTGTCACCCCAGGCTTGTGATTTTTTTTTTTTCTTACACAGGGCTCCCATTCTTGGCAGGCTTTCACTTCTAATCATCAAATGATACTGGTGATCTAGTGTTTCTTAATATACATTATGTATTATACTATTGGAGTAAGAATTCTAGTTCAATATGTTTAGTTCATCATTTCATTTAGGTTAAGAGGAGGGGGTTTTGTAGGAGTGTTCTACAAATAATGAAATGTTTTTCTTCTGGGGCTATTTTATTTCATAATCTTAACCTTAATAATGTACAAGACTTTTTTTTTTCCCAAAGCCTTACAATCCTTACAAATCTTAACCTTAATAATGTACAAGACTTTTTTCCCAAAGCCTTACAATCCTTACAGCCACCTAGGTATTTGATTTTTCTGCACACTGTTATGGTTACCTGAATTTGAATAATGGAAAAGTATTTAACCATTTCGTAGAGGTCAGAGTTAAGAGATTCTGGGTCTTTCCATCTGCCTGCCTCCATTGCACAGGGCACCAGACTTCACCTGAGCACCCACACACTGAGTAGGAAGACTCAGCCTGACTAATTCTGTTTCCCACTTGCCCCAGTAACTCTGTTGGGAGGTGTTTGGGTTTTTTCTCATTCTTTCAAGTACAGCCCCCTAATCCAAACAGTTTCTTCTGTAACAAAAGCTTTTGCATTTCAAGGCTGTTTTAAGCAGGAGTGTGGGGATATGCAAGCCCATGTTAACATTTTCTAGGGCATGGAATGTCTAACAATGCTGGAAGGCTGGGTTTTATAGCAAAGGAGAACAAGGTACTGAATGCTGTGTGTGTTTTCCAGATGCAAGCACGTACGCACATTATCTCTTCAACGCCTTCGACACAGCACAGAATGGGTTGGTGAAGTTTGAGGTAACTGCTTTGCATCCTTCTTTGATGCCTCTCTCTTCCAGGTTTTTAACCTCCATCCATTCTTCCTTGTAAACCAGTGGGACTTGGTTATAGGTTAGAAGTTTCAGTGTAAAATCAGTTGATATTTTCAAATCTGGTTCATTTTATGCAGATGGAGTTGCCCGTTTCCTTTCACTAAACAAACACACAATGGTGTCACTTGGTGTCACAGAGAGAAAGTGCAGAGATGTGTGTAGCAGAGAGGTCAAGGGCAGTCCTGTTCAATGATTGGCACAGATAATCTGCATGTCAAAGAAAAGCCAGTACATTGTGTCTTCTGCAGCCACCACGCATTGCAGGGTTCCAGTTTTACGTTCCTGGAATGTGGGGTTTTCTTAGCTTATTTGATATAGTGAACAAGTACCTCAGTTACTTCGTTCCTAGGGAAACCAAATCCACCCCTTGACTAAAAAGCCTGTTGCTGTGGCTACAAATAGCCAGCCTTTAAGCTCACCCACGTACTTGGAGTGCAGCAAAGAGATAAGTCATAGGCCTGTGGAGGATGAACTTCATGGTTTTGAAGACTGTTTACTGTCATCATAAAACTAGAAATCACAGGCAGTCTTGCCTTTGCCACCAAATGGCTAAAAGTCCCAGTGATTTCCAGGCAAGACTGAGAAGTTAGTTCATTTATCAGATGCAAAATGGGAATGTTACCATATGTGTTTGTCTGTAGCAATGGCTGCAGTGGGAGTTTTGCATATGGCAGCTATTTAGTAGTTAGAGGCTTCCAGAAGGCTAAACAGGCTGAGGCACAGCAAAATGCTTAGGTAAGTATTTATTAACAAAAAAATAAAATAAACCCAGCCAAAAGTGCTGAGCTTTCCTTCCTGACAAACCTGTCTCTTTCATGATTCTCAAACATAAGCATTTTGTCCCTCTTTTTTTTTGTAGTATTCAGCAAATTCAAATTCCTCTGAGCCCCAGGAAAGAGCAAAGGTTTCTAAGACGTGATGCGCTGCCCCATGCGGAGCTAAGGGGTATAACATGAGCAGGACTAAGTACATTAAGTGAGGTGTTGGGATCTGTATAGCTCTGCTAGCTTGAAGCTCTGCCTGTACTAATACATCCCTGTAGCAAAGCTACCTACAGTGCCAGAGCCACTGTGCAGTACCCAGAATAAACCAGTTATTGGAAGCTTATAACTTTGAACAGAAAATACGAGTAAAATGCTCTGTTCCGACTGAGTAATTAGTGGTGGGAATTGCATCTGGTCAAGTCTGACAGATTTTTGCTAGAGAATAAAACCTGAGGCTCCTCGTGTTTGAAGAGTTTGGGATCTTTCTGTCTCTCTTAAGGTGGACATGAGAAAATGCTGGGTTTTCCTCCTCCTTCCCTAGCAGCCCAGGTCTAGGGGTAAGGAAGCATTGGCTTCCACTGCCACAGCCAGAGTCCAGCTGTGCTGAGCAGGCAGTAGCAGTCAGAGTGATTCTTGCAGCAGATCAGTGCTGGGAGGGAAATTGCTACTGCAGCATCTTACAGTGCTCTTACAAACCAGACATGTATTTTGCTATGGTTACATTCATGAAGTACCTAGAGTTTAGAACATGATAAATTTGGATGTGCAGCAGAGGAGGTGTCCCAGCCTCTGTCTGGGATCATGTTGTGGTGTTCCCAGCAAATCAAAGCACCCAGAGCAGCCCCACTGTCCTGCAGACGTCAGGATCTGTATCTGCCTGACTTGGACAGGACCTGCTATGAAGCCTGTGCTGTTTCCACACTCCTCACCCTAGGACTTAGGAGGCATTAAGGCTGCAGCACCCATTAGCTCTCTCTGCCTTTCCAGCTTTGCTAAGTTGCCCTATAAGCTTGGCCTTTACAGTGGCTGCAGTTGAGTACTTGGCTCAAACCAGGACACCTGTCCTAAAAAAGAAGAGTCTTTTGGCTGGCATTATATAAAGAAGGTGGTGTAGAAGAGGATGTTATGAAGTCACCTTTCTCTTTCTGCCTTGGGCCAGGATTTTGTGATGGCATTGTCCATTCTCCTGCGGGGCACTGTTCATGAAAAGCTAAGGTGGACGTTCAACCTGTACGACATCAATAAGGATGGCTACATCAACAAGGAGGTAAGGCTGCTCCTCACAAAGGGGCTTGATTTCTGAAGAGAGCTGCCTGGTTTCTGATGCACAGCACAATTAATTTTGCATGCAGCTAATTAAATGCAAATCAGACGGACTTGAGCATTTATCTAAGTAAAGTGCATGGAGATCTTATTTTGTAGACATATTTTCTTATATCATGGTGCATTTAATTGATTTCTTTAGCCAGGAGAAAAGCCCTAGTTACTGCTATGACTGACATAAGCTTTGCAGGGGAGGGTGACAGTGACAGTAGCTACTTGGTGACTGAGGGGTTTCTGGCTGCACTTGGAGGCAGGGTATGAGCTCACCTGAAGCACTACAAGCCTCCAGCACCAATCCTAAATCCCGCATCATCTTTTGTCTCTTTATGGTATTGTTTGTTTTGTATTTGGGAAGCCTTGGTTTTGAGCATGGTAACCTGGATATTTTGCAAATACATCTTTGTCTATCTTCTCAAACCCTTGTGTGTACCTGGAGGGTTTGTGGTAGCTGCTACTGGTCATGGAGTTGTGTGGCAGTTTGTGTGAGTTGGGGAGAAGGGCTGGGTTCCCAGTGACTGTCCTGTGAAGGGCCCTGGATGAGGCTCTGGGACAGGGCTGGTGCCACAGAGCACACCGGCTGCAGTCCAGCACCATCCCCAGCAGTGCTGTGTCAGAGCACACATCCTGCAGTGCTGCAGGACCAGGGCAGGGAGCTGAGCCCTGCAGGAGCCTCCCTGTGGCTGTGGCAAAGTTGGCACCGTCAGAAGGAAGCACTTGGGTTTGACAGATGAACTTGAATATGATGATACATCTGTTTGCATGCAAATGTATTCTCTGTGCTGTCTTGGAACAGGAGAAGGAGGGTGAAGAAAAGAGCAGTGAAAAAAAAAAAAATGTGCTGCAATTTCTATTAATTTTCTTTTGTCTGTGTTGGCATGGCACTCCTGCAGGAAATGATGGATATTGTCAAGGCCATTTATGATATGATGGGAAAGTACACATATCCAGTGCTCAAGGAAGATGCTCCAAGGCAGCACGTAGAAGTATTCTTCCAGGTACTTGAGTTTTGGCATGTTTTTCTTAACATTTGAACTATGTACTGCTATAATTTCCCGTGAGGACAGCCCCACGTTCAGTCCCACACCCCATGATATCTTCTGAAATAAACTGTAGCAGCTGTTCAGCCCAACATCTCAGTGTCTGCTGGTTTCCTGGCTTCAAGATCACTCGTTTGTCTCTTTCCTGACCCTCTGCATTGGGATGTGTTGCAGCCCTTCTGTGCTGCTTCTCTCAACTGCCCATCAAGAGAGACAGGTTATGGTTGGTGAAGCAGTGTACAAATGATGTTTGAAGGGCAGAGGTTGCTGTGCATGTCAAAGAAGGGATAGTTGTAGATGACCCCAGCAGTACTCACAACACCAGAGTAAACAAGTCCTTAGCAGTCAGCAAATTTATCCAATGACACTGAGTCTGTAATCTGGGCTTGTAAAGGGCCCCAGGTTTATTCAGGTTGCATCAAGTATGATCTTATACTGTAACTGCAGTGTCACCTATGGAAACAAAATTGTGTTTTGTTTTATTTTGCAGAAAATGGATAAAAACAAAGATGGTGTTGTAACTTTAGATGAGTTTATTCAATCGTGTCAGGAGGTAAGGACAAAATTATAACTGCAATGAAAGGTCTAGCTCATGCATCAGTGTTTCCTTTCCCTTTGGACAAACTCCATTTGAGACAAGATGCTGCTCAGGATCCCAGGTTTCCTTTGCTCTGTGAAAAAAACAACTTCAAGATTCAGTTTCTGGATTCTTTTGGTTTTTTGTTGTTTTTTTTAAGGGGCTGATAGTGTGTTTGTGCTGCCTCTGAAGGCCATGAGCAGGTACCACATTGCTGGAAGTACCCAGCATTGAAGGTCTCTCAAAATCTTGTCATTCTGTTTTGGAAATAAGCTCCCTCTTACAAATTTCATATTTTGGTTGGCTGTAATAGAACTACTTGCTGGTATTTTTAGCACTGGCAGAAAGAAAAGCATTTGTCTTACCATGCAGTTGGGCAAGTGCCTGTTGTCTTAGACTGTAATTAACTGTGTAACTGTTTGCTCAGATGTCTCTAATACTTAATCAGTACAATAATGGCCTCTGCATTTCAGAAAGTTTACATTGATGGAAATTGTATCATACCAGCCTTCCTGTGTATTTTACTTTCTGTGGGAAGATCTTTCCTGTTCTGCAGCCAGACAGATCTTCTGTACCTGAGCAATGGGAATACCCTCACTGTGGAGGGCTAGGCTGGTTTCCCTCTGCTTCTCTGCTCAGTCTGGCTCTGGCAACACCCAGATTACTTCTCAATCAGGCTCTTCAGGTGGCAAAATCTTTGTTAGCAGATGTATAATGCAAGGCTCTTCATTTGTTCTTTTTTTTCAGTTAATTGATTCTTGGTCTCTCCTGATTGTTTGTTTTATTTTTGGCCTCATCTTTAGTTTGCTCATTTGTGTTGTGTACTTTTCTTCAGATTTGTAATTTGCCTTCAGGCTGGATGTGCATGATGAATGGTCTCAGTATTGAAGCAGCTTTACTTTTACCTGTCAGTTTGTTTAGTGCTCTGCTGTAATTTGGGTTGGTTTCCATCTGTTGCCCTACCTGCACTAGGAGCTGTGCAGACTAAGGCACCAGTGTGTGTGGTTTCCTGGCAGGCAGAAGCCAGCCCTGCAATACTAAGGTGTCTTTTGTTCTTTATGAAAAACAGCCCAAAGTGCAGGGCTCTCCTCAGCCATTTCTGAGGATCCAGCTCATGGGCAGCACTCCCAGCATTGCTCTGGAGAGCATGATTGGTTTCCCCTGAAAGGTGATACCTTGCACACCCCAAACTGTGTTGAAGGTGAGATAGGAAGATGCAGCCTCAAAAGAAGATAGAGGAATGAGAAACAATCAATTTCTTATGTTGCTTTATGCCTGTTCATGTTACAGGCAAAGAGTTCTTTTTAACTTTTGGAATAGCTGAAAAAAACCCCAACATCATGGTTTTGGGTATTACTCTGGTGTTACCTCCAAGTACAATTCCAAGGCTTTATGACAAACAACCTAGGATTTCCATTGTGTGCTCACAACTTTCTCATGTGGTTTCAGGAACCTCAGAGAGGCTGAGATTCCATGTATTTTGGTTTTGAGTTGGTTGTGTTTCTGGGATCAAGTCATCTTTCAGAGCAGCTTTCTTACCAGGTCAAATTCTGCAATTTAACTTGGTCTTCTGAAGCCTGTTAAGCTAAGTGCACATTTTCATAGTCAGGATTGGCGAAATGCAGTTGGGCACTGAAGTCTGAGGATTCAGCACCAGCTCAGTGCTGGTGTCTGGGTTTCTTCTGTAAAGCACAACCCATGCTGAATGTCAGGCTTATGACCCTGGGCTTGCCCACTTCAAATCACCTAAGGTGCCAAAGGAAGGGGCAACTGCTTTGCTGGATTAGGACTTGATCACTGAACCAATTCCAGCTCATCAGGGATGAAAAGCATTATGAAAGCAAGGCTGTTGCCTGCAGCAGCTGCAAAGCTCCCCTGTGCCAGGCAAAGCTACTAGTTAGTTGTGTTTGTCAGTGTTAAGAAAATGTCTTCTCATTGCTTTCAGGATGACAACATCATGAGATCCTTGCAGCTCTTTGAGAATGTGATGTAACCACACCTGGCGAGTGCTAGAGGAGTCAGAGACTCTGTAACAAAGACCTCCTTTCTGGTGAAAGCTTTTTACAATTCAGCCATGTTCAGTGTGTGAGGGTTTTGTACAACATCTCCAACCAAATGGCAACCGAATGCAACCAGCCCCAGCTCTTCTCCCAGGAGACACCGGGGGACCTTTGTTTCGTTTTGGAAGCATGTGAATATTTTAATGAAACCTGATGAGGGAGAACTGCTGCTTAAAGTTCAATGAGTAATATACAGCATTGTTTGCTAGGCACCAGTCCTAGTTTTCATCTGGCAAGCTTGATTCCATATGATAGCACATGTTGATAGCTTACTCTGCCATCTATTGTGAGTGAAGAGCTCAGTCCATGCTCCCATGCAGCAACATGTTCTATGAATGCCTTGTGGTTAATCTGCTGTGACAAAAGTTGAATCTACCAGGGTAATCTATAAACACAAACAGTAAATGTACCTAGAACATGAAGCAGATGGTCAGTGCAGCCAGTATCACTTTCTGCAGAGGTCCTGCTTTTCCTTTCACATGCACTGGTGTCACCACACAGAGTTTGGTGGAAGTGCTGTAATCACACTGAGTCTGGAGCTTTTCCTGAACACATTAACTAGAGGATGTTTGTGCTAGAGTGAGCCAGAAAGAAGCAAAACATCTGTTGCACATACACATCTTCAAACTACAGAACAAATCCTGTTCAAGGATGGTAAATCCTTGCAAGACCAGGCAGATTTATAAGGGCTGGTACAGGAAAATGAGTATCTGCTCTGGTCCCAGCTACCTTCTGCAGTCCCAGCACGTGGTAGAACAAAGTGATTTTCCACTGTGCATTTCAGCAGCACTGTGGTCATGTGCTCTGGTCCTCTTGGTGTAGGTTTGACAAATGCATCTCAGTTTCATCATTTTAATGTTTGTATTTTATTGTTGGAAGTTAGGCTAAAGTCTTGACTGCTTTAGAATCTCAGAATCAGCTGCCAGGCCCATATGTCTCTCTGAGTAATTTAGTATTTTCTATAGCAAAATCTTTTTTCCTACCAGGCAGTTGCATGACCTGCACAAGTCCTATTTCCTTCCTAAAGCCATATAGTGCATTGCTTTGGAGGGCTGGGTTTTTTAATGAGCAAAAGCGAGTCTTGTAGTGAATACACAGCAAGTTTGAATTTTGCTCAGTAGATTATCCCTGGAGGTATTTAAAAGCCATGTAGATGTGGTACTTAGGGACATGATTTCTCAGCCATCTCTGCCTGGTGACTGCAACAGCACTGTGGTATGTTAGCTTTCACAAAAGACTCCTCTGAAAAGCAGGCTCTGACATAGAATCAGAGTGATTTTGGTTGGAAAAGACCTTTAAGATGATCAAGTCTAACTGTTAGTCTAGCACTGAGTCTACCACTAAACCAACAAGGGAAGGAAGGAACAAACAACTTTTCCAGCTGCCCAGACCAAACAGAAGGGAGAGTCCCTCCCATACTGTAACATCACTCCATCCAGTACGCATATATTTTTATTATATTAGATACTATATTACAAATATGCTGTTAGCAGTGAAGATATATTTTAAAAATGTAAGTGGAAGCTTTTTATAATACAAGATATATAGAATGCCTCACTTCTGTAGCCCAGTATTTTATAAAAACAATCTACTGAAGTATTCCTGGTCACAGAGTAGGTCTGATCAGGACCTGTGCTGGTTCCCCAGATGGGACACTTTCCCCTTTTACTGTGCTCCTCCTTACACTTCTGTGCTGTCTTTATTCCTCTAAGTTGCCCACTTGTCATCAAAAGTGCTGTTGAAGTGAAGGAAGTTACACAAAGGCAGGAATGAGACTCCAGTCTATCCTGTTTATTGCCTTTCATACAAACACCATGAATTAATTTATTTGCAGCAGTGACACAGAGCAGAGCAGCTCCAGTAATGTGCTGTGATGTACAGAAGGGATGTGATGCAGTGAGCAACCTCGTCCCCCAGTTGTCCAGCATTGTCTGTTCAGCTTTTATTTAAGAGGCACTTGATAAAGACAACAGTTGTGGCTGAAATAATAATGTGTTTACACTGTTCCCCCTTCGTTCTTGCAATCACTTTAGCAAATGACAGAATTTAATAACTTGCTTGTCTCCCTCCATCAAAGGAGAACCTGCCTGTTGTCAGGCTGAGCAGCTCACTTCAGCTGAGAGAAGGGGTCAAGATAACAGGACACGCACATCTGGGTGAGCATGATGCCTCCCTGACAGTGCTGCTGCAAACCTGCTCATGAGATGGCACACACAGCCTGGAAAGGTAGCAAAATGTGCATGTCCTGTTTTCAAGAGAAAAGGTTCTTGCTTCCATGATCCCATGGTCTCTGAAGCTAAATCAATTTCTGGAGTTACTGTGATGAATTCTCAGCCGTTTCCTGTGTTCCCACTAGCTGAAGTGCTGCAGGGGTGGTGTTGAGGTGCCTGTGTCACGGGGGCTGCTTTCTGCTGAGCCTTGCTTTGGCAATGTACTTCCATCATTTGAGTGTTATTCTCAGCATGTGCATTGCTGAAATCAGGCTACCTTCAGTGACTCTGCAGTTTTGGCACCTCCTTTTCTGTGCCAGTGTTGGTTTTCAGCTCCCAGTAACCATGGCAGTGTGTTAGGTAAAGAGGGAGACACTGATCCTGCCCTGAAGCGTAACCAGCTTCGAGTTCAGTCTCACCTGCAGATGCTGATGTTCAGCCCTAGTTGCTACCTCTGTGCTCCTCTTGAAGGCCATTGTAGCTGAGACAGGAGGACTGGCAAAGTGACACACACAGCTGTATTTTCACATAGCTCTAATTGTAGTTTCTGTCTGTGGCAGAGTCGTTGCCTTTGCAAAACCTTTTATTATCCTGTGTTTGGCTCTGCTCCCACTGGAAGCAGCCAGAGCCTAGTGTGCCTCAGTGCACAGAGGGCCCCTGGGTTTCCCATGAGCAGCATCTCTGTACGTGGCACGTGTGCTCCAGCCAAGGGATGACAGGATCCAGTGACTGTGAGGGAATCATCCTCTGCATGGAAATGTCTTCGGGTTTGTTTTTTTGTTTTCTGTGAATGTTACTTTGTAAACTTGCAAAGCCTCCCATCCCTCATGAATGGGCCTTGCAATATTGATGGCAAATACTACTACAACTTTATAAATAAAACATAGTATGCTATTCTAATCTCATAGCATTGTAAATCCTACTGCCAGTGTGTGGAAGGTAGTTGCTATGCTGGCTTCTAGGTTACAGTTAGACTATATGTTAGTGCTATCAACTGTGCACATTTTCTCCAAGTTGTGAATGTTTAAATCATTAGTCTGACTGTTTCATTAGTTACAAACGTTAGTCTGCATCTTCATGACAGCATTTTCTAAAAAAAAGCCTTTCTAACATGCATCTTAGGCAACAATCTGTTGAAAAATAGGAATGTGATTAATGATAATGCAAAAAATAATGTAATGTGCCTGTTACTGTCAATGTTTGTTTTCCTGTTACTTGGAATGCACTGCAATATTGTGGGTATTCACGGGTCAAGCTGTCAGCCTGAGGGTACAGATATCCAAAGGTCCAAGCACTATGAGCAGAACTTGGCCATTGCCTGCCTGTGACATGGGTTGAGAACAAACATCTTTGTGTCCTTGTGTGACCTCTGATAGGATGGTAGCAGCAGAGTAACAAACTTTTTTTTCTTTTTCATGGAAGTGCCATGAAAGACCTAAAGAAATGTGCATATAATATAAATTGTGATAACTAAAGCCATGTGAATGGAGCAGCAATGCATAGCTTCACTCTTACAATGCTCTTCTCCAACAGCAATTTATATTAAATTTTGTTGAATGGTTTTAAAAATGTTGGGTTTAATAATAAAAGAAATATCTGTAGAAGGCTGTCCTTAAGCCAAATATGTGATTCTTTCTTAAGGGACACTGCCAGATTAAAAATGTACAGGGAAACTTCTCAAAGCAGGACTCTTACAAACACAGATCTGCCTGCACCAAGGCAGCTCAGCTGCCAAACTGTACTCTGAGCATAATGTTGACATGATTTAGTTGCATCACTGATTCAGAGGTGCTCTTATGTTTGGTGGCACATCCAGCTGACAGCCTGGACTTTGTGTAAATAAGAGTTCTCAAATGTTTTACCTGCACCACTGAGAGTGTCTCAGAGTAGTAAAGGTTGAAAGCTTACAGGCAATTCTTTTCTCTTCAGCAGTTTTGCTTAAGTATAACCAGGAGAGCAGGAAATTGTGTTGAAGAAAAACACAAACATTTTATTTTAGAGATAAGAAAAATAAACCAAAAACCTTGCAGTGTCCCTTTAGCTCTGGTTTGTTGTAAAAATCCATTCTGACACAGAAAATGCAGAAGAAATTTTGCAAGACTCTCTATATATATGTGTGTACATACATATATATATATACACATAAAAATTTGCTAAACTCCATTCTGTAGGGTATGTCTACCAGCACATCTGCCTACATGCAGAAATGTGAAAATAAAGATGTCTGTGAAATGTGGTCTTGGTGTCACTGCAGTGCCTGAGATGGTTGTGTTGCCCAGCCCTGCTCCCCTGGCCAGCTCCGGGCCATGCAGACAGGGAGTGAGCAGCTTGGGGACTGCTGCCCCTGCCACCCAGGCACCCACCTGCTGAGAGGAGACACCAGTTCCCTCTGGAAAATGCCAGACCTGACTTCTGCTGTCCCTGCAAGGAAAAGGTGGTGAAGCTGCCTGCTCAGCACCCCTGGCTAGCTCCGAAGCGCACCCAGCTGCTGCTGAGCAATGTCCCCTCTGGCTCACCAACACGTGCGTATGCTGCTGCTCCCTTCTGCAGCCTCAGCTTGGCCTGGGCAGCTAGCCCAGGCCTTGGCTGCTGCTGAGGGATATTAGACACTTCAGGTTTTATTTTCTGCCTGTCACTGGGGCAGACTGAGCATCTCATCCTGCTGCCTGCCTGCTCTGGAGTGTTGCATCTGATGGTCTGAAGGGACGGGGGAGAGGGCAGGTCTGCACTGGCAATGAGGGCAGAACCCACAGCACCTCTGGAAAGGTCCTGCAGGGGGTGGGAGGATGAAACT